TCATATTAATCAGTTGGCAAATTGTGTCTAGTGCCTTTTTTGAGAGGGAAAAATCATCGATTGCCTTGGCTGACGCAAGAATCACTCTTTCTGACTAAAAACCACCCCATTTCTACTCCTGCTTAATAACACATTAGGTTGTCCACACCTGTGGCTATCTAGGATCTCCTCTATTAAACTGTCAAACACCAAGCGGTCACCGGTGACCGCAACCTATTGTTCTATAATTGTGTCTATAATGACGGTACTCAACGAGTTAAGTACCCGAATACACATGAAAATTAATACATACAAAGTAGTATATTATATTCATATATAAATAAACAAATAACATTGCATATGAAATGCGTCATTGGCTGGTTATATAAAATGCAACAGAACAGTCATGGGTCACTAACCTTTTCATATATTATCATGAGATGACAACAATTTGTAATCACGTGTATTTTTAGACAAACCGTATTAAAGATGTTTGTTTAAGTTTACTAATACCATGTTTTATTATACCTAGTCTCATTTAGGTAATAATATCAAGATTCAAAGACTACAAAGCTCATATTTTTTATTTGTTATCTGCCATCAGCTTCGAGCCATTATCAGATTGTTTGGTGAAATTAATATGCATTTGTGGAAGTACTTCATCGAATACATCTCTTATTTCGATAGCTATGAATTAGTATCTTTCATACAGTTGCATTATTTGCCAATTATTTTTTGCCGTGCAATATTGCTCATCCGTTTTGAATAGGTCTTTTGCCAGTTCATTAGTGTGTGCCTCAAGCCGGGTCTTATATTGTTCGAGAGAGCAATTTAAAGTTTAACTCGTCGAGTACCGGTTTTGTAGACACAATTATAGAACAATAGGTTGCGGTCACCGGTGACCGCTTGGTGTTTGACAGTTTAAGAGTGTTCTAAGTCCAGTTTCAGTCAGTTCTTATAAATACTAGTAGAGCCTTATTATCCCTAAGGCAAACTAGGCGTCTGGCAACAAATGGCCGCGAGAAGCGTATGCCCAACTGCCCATAAAGTACGCAAAAAATAGCGCTTTTTGGGTTTAATCTGCCTCTGTACCCGCAGGTAGAATAAAGGCGGTAAATGTAGTATTATTACTCTACCAGCACCATAATACATACAATTGTGTATTATTTCTAAGTGCTAATCTATCCATTTATAACAGGAAAATATTAATTTTAATCTTGAATGCATTTTGGCTTCGGAAAATACATCATTTTGTTGTGTTGCACAACAATTGAAATTCAAGGCACTTACGACTATCGTTCAAGCAAGATAAGGAGTTGTCTACAATAACAAATTCATTGTTTATTTGAATAAGCCAATCTAAGGAATGGTCAGTCTTATTTTATGCATTTGAAAGACTAATTTCAGAAGAAGACTACCCATTTATTTTAGCATGGTTAAAATCATAGCCCTCCTTTTTGTTTCCACCAAAGTCAGGTAAAAGGATCTCAAAATGTGGTTAAAACTAAAAGAATAACAATGTTAAGGTCTTTAAAACCATCTTTGTAAACTTAAGAGGTAACTAGAAAGAATTTAAATCTTTAGTCCACTTGTAATATGAGCCTTTCTCCATTGAAAAGTAAAGCTTTGTGGAAAAAAATAGAATGGTAAGACATTCACAAACTAAAGGCCCATAAAAAAGGTAAACCTTCCCAGAAATGTGTTATTATCTTTGTCAAAAGGACAACAATAGACCTCAAAAGATTTTGAGTTGAGGAAACCCACTGACCATTATGCTATTGTAAATTTTTATAGGTTAAAGCACATGTTTGCTTGTGGGCCAATCTTAACCAAAATCTTTGGACTGAGATAGATTTTTAGCTTTCAATGGAAACGCAAAATAATTTTGGTAATTAATGAAAATTTTACTGAGGCCGGAACGTACGAACTAAATGATATATGAAACAGAAGAGAATCAAGAATGTGTTCCTCATGATATGAATGTGTTCACCTCCAATTACATGGGACCCATAACATAAATAGTAAAAACTAGCTGTTACATTGTACAGTGGCATTAAGTGCCGTAATGTGCACCTCTGCCTACCCCTTCGGGGATAAAAAGTTTGTAGTTATATTTACATATGACAGCTTAAAAGAAGATCAGATAGTTGCTCTCAAATAACTCGGGCAGGAGGAAAAAAGAATGAATAAGCATCAGACATTCAAACCTCACCAAAAATAAGATACCTAATTAATCTAGTAAGAACACAAAGATTTGTCTAAAAGATGTGTTATATAATTATTATAATTATCTTGAAATAATCATTAAAATAAAAATTATACTATATTGCTGATCAGTATAGCCTTTGTTGTATTGAAATCAAGCATTTTATCAAATTAGATCATCTTTTAGATAAAAATATGGTGGAGGCTATTTCATTGCTAGGTAGATTATTTATCTTTTTACATTTTAATCTAGAATATTCTAGACCTGAATGAATCGTTGTGTAAGTTTTCAATGATTATTTAAATGGGTGGCAGAGTTTTATTGCTACTACTCTTTGATACCATCAAAAATTCGTGCCTGAGTGTATGGCATGAATTCATACAAAAAGAATGTATGGCATAAATTCCACAATTGGCAGGAGTTCGGAGATTACAGTCTACAACAGGTTTAGAACTGCTGCGAACCTAGCCCAAGTTTGTAAGCTTATGACAAGACGTCACAAAGATTAGAGTCAGTGCTAGATTTACTTACTATATTCTGACATCACATTTTATAGTGAGTGATACTAATATAAATACCTCAAGATTTTCTTTTAGAACCTAATCTCAGTAACTACTAGACAGATATGAGGAAAAATTTTGGTATTCAATTACTCATTTTTGAGGTAGGTTAGTTGCATAACCAACAATGTTTAGAAACTTTCAGACAGTCACAATGACATATTCATCAGTATAATTAACCGAAAAGAGATTGAATTTTTATTCTCAGTAGTCTAAAATGTACTGAGATTATTGAGAATTTGTCATTAGCATGTAGAAGAAAAAAATATGAAATACATGCACAATTCATAAATATTTCTGTAATGTTCATCATGTAAAATGGATGTGTATCTCATATCCAGGACAAAATGGTCCCACAAAGGCCTAGTTATCAAAAATTTTGGCTTCAAATAAAAAAAATAAACCTTAAATTTCAATGTATAATGAAAAAGGTCAGTTATTTAACCATTGGAGGTCAAGGATTCCACCTTGGCATTCACAATGCAAGGTTGAAATTACAAAATGTACCGTTAACGATGTGATTTTGTAACAAAACTAGTATTTTAAGTGCTTGCAAGTATAATAAATACATGCTTCAGTATGAAAATACTATGAAATAGTTTACTAATATTAATAGAAAAGAAATGTAAATACAAGTACCTAATAATTATTTAAAGTTTAAAACGATGTTCAGAGTTGTAATTTACTAATGATAGCTTTAATGAGTTTCCATAGACTAATAACACAGTGGTGCATTTTTTCTTAAATCAGGATGCAGAGGTGTTTATTTCCATATGACTTAGTTGAAGAAAAAGGAACATTCTTATACTCTACAAAATGAGTGGTTTTTTGATTTCAGAATATCAACATGAATTTGTTTGACAACAATATGCCCCTTACTACACTGTAATTAGTAAATGGCAAAATCGAGGGTTTCCTAAAAATAACCTATTCTGCTGTCAATTTAGACATAACTATGTACTCAATGTTAACACTGAACATCACAGAGAATAACATTTTCATGGAAAACTGTTATCTACCCTTCAATCCAAGGAGGTTGGCAAATTCGTGGTAAGACCCTTGATAAGGGAATATAATAGTGAATTATATACCATATAATAATAATAATAATAATAATAAATTTATTCAATATTCAAAAAATGCAAAATACAAAACATATCGTAAATACGTACAATTGTCCTCACAATGTTAAATGCCTGCACTAGGACAATCCTGTATCGCAGACGAGAGGAGTTCTAAATATAATTCTTATAGTAACACATTTTATTTCTACAGAGCCATATACTTAACATTATACAACAGAAAACAATATGATTATTTTAATATACATACATACATACATATAAAACTAATCCTCATATAAAATATACAATATATATATTATAAAAGAGCTGTAATATATCATTGTTTGAATAATGAACAATACTTCAGTTACATTTTACAGTGGACTTTGTTGTAACAGGAAAAAATAATCAAATAACCTCACTGCAATTTTGTTTGCGACATATTATTGTAAAATAACATTTATGTGCTACATTTTCCTCAATAAACGTTGTTGAAATGCTTTGTATCTGTGAATTGAACTACAAATTGGCGCCTACGACGTACATAACTGTAGTTTGATCAGGAGATAAGTACACGCGTCGATTTTAAGTCAGTACGTTAGAAAATATGCAAGTTATCTATGTTTATTACTTTCATGTACCAGGAAAATATGATAAGGTGAAGATCACGAACGAATTACGTAGAAATACACGCCACGCGCGTGTACAATGTAAAAATCGTTTGTATCGAGTAAATTTAGCTCGGCAGGTCGATCACTCGCGGGCCCTACGTCACCCGCGCAAGCGTCCCGTCGACTCAGCTGTAAGAGCAGTGACCTCGAGGAAAAACCACGCTATCATGCGTGACCCTAACCTAAATACAAACATTTCACACTTTTCAGACCCTTTCATACATACTATAGCTTACTTACCTGTAGAAAACGAGCCGTTACTCACTGTCACGCGGGAAATCCCACACTACAAAGCGAAAGTGGCCACAGTGACGCCGCGGGCCACAATCGAAGTTTCATCATCTTTTTCCACTGTATTTCACCGACACAACACACTTTATACACTTATTTGGCTATTGAAACGCGTGCTAACTACGATTACACTGGTAAAAACACTTTTAGTTAGCATGTTTTACGCACTTTAAGCACATGACTCGACAAAAACATTGAGCTGAAAACACCACATTTTGAAAAAGGATACACTTGAAGCCTCTGGCCCATGTCCTGTATTAAATTCGCGGCCTGCTGCCGATATGCCAATTCTTTATCTGCATCTAAACCGCATTTTCTGCTTGGAGAACTCAGTAATTGTTCTTTGGTGAAATACCATTTTTCCTGCCCACCAGCCATTGAGCGGATATTCCGACTGCTCGCGAGAAAGCACGACGGAGAGCAGAGCTCCGTCTAAGTGCGTGAGTGGGAAAGGGATAGCGCTATGACAGCGGCGACCGGACGTAGACCACGTTAACATTTGAGAGATTTAAAACTTGTAATTTAACATTTTGAATGTACAACACTGTTATTAATCACTAATTAACAACTAAAAATAAACTTTGTTTTTTTAAAAGTCCAAATCGATTATATAACGCTTGAAAAAAAATCGTCACAACACAAATTCTTGATAGGTATTCTTAAACGGACGCCATTGTAAAACTTGGTGGTCAACGCAGTAAGGTCTCCGGTGACAGAATGCGGATCTGCAACAATCACAGGTACGTTTCACGTTATCACTATGCTTTATTCTATTCTTTAAACATTTGTCTTTCTTTTGTGTATATTTTTGAGACAATTCATGAAGTTTTGAATGATAATTTTCAACTTTAATTTTACGGACCTAAATTCTCTGTCACACCGTGCAAATGGCCGACCCACCACTGTTTACAATACACTGCTTTATTTCTTTAGTGAAAAACATATCTTCGTAGGTGAGATAATAAGTAATGATGGCATAATTAATTAATTATTTTTTTAGTAATTGTAGTGATTATAGATTTCTGGAAATAATGGTAATTAATTAATGAGGATGAATATTGACAATGTACCATTGACCGATGAAGTGAAATTTTGCGCGGCTACGTGGAGTAGAATGATTACAACGAAAACAGAAAAATAGTATTTTCTTATACCCTTGTTACGTAATAAAATAGTAATTTTTCTGTCTTAGAAACATTTTTACATGTTTCGGCGTTGATTTTGGTTATTTTTATTTATTATTGTTGATGATAATTATCGCAGAAAATGTTTTCGTTTGGAAGTGAAAATTCTAACCAGCTGAACGCTCACAACATTAGGATTACTGAACGTAAGTCCAAATGATTTTTATTTAATTTAACCATATTAGAGTAAATTATATAAAAACATGTTACCTAATTGTTAGTAATTGCTTATTATCACTGCTATCAGATATTCAAATTTTCAAAAGGTACAAAATTTAAAAGCGTACTGTAGGCACTGAAGGTTATGATTGAATAGGTATTTAGGTATTTATTGTTATTCAAGGTTACTTACAAATATTTTATTGACGCCAATTTCTGAACATAATAAACGCATTAAACATTTATTGGGTGTAAAAACTATTTTAAACTTTACAGCATAAACTATTATTTTCATTTACAAACACAATGTAAAACTTAGTTGATAGGTATAAATAATGGCGGGTAAAACTTGAGAAAAAAGTTGCTTTACTATTAGGATTACCCTCATCAACTAGTGCATTGGAATAAAAATATTGATGTTTAATGTTCATAAAACAAAATTAATTCCAGGAATCATAATAATTGGCATATTTTTCTATGATCGGTTGTATCCGAAAATACCCGCCGATGAGACGGGTGGCAGTATCCTCTAAATTTTCGGTGATCTAAGAAACGTACAGGTTTATTAAAGAGTGCTATTGTCTGGTCCTTGTTAAATATGAAGTCACATCTTACCTTCATGCTGAAGCATCACTGTTGGACTCTAACCATAGTACGAGACCCGTGGTAAGAGTAGCGCCTAGAGATGGTGACAAAAGCATTGTACTGTACTTACTCTACCTTCCCAAGCGTACGGCGTATTTCGTCCCGCACGAGCCTCAAAGAGCCATCTGACCACCGCAGATAGGGGCCAGCAGGGATGATGCCCGATCCGGGTTACCGGACCGGGGCTCCGGTTCAAAGCAGGAGTAGGAACGGGGTGGTTTTTAGTCAGTAAGAGTCTGACGCTCCCTCTCACCTCACCCAAGGCGGGAGAAGTCATTGGATGATTATCCCCCCTTAAAAAAAACAAAAGGCGTACTCGACTGTCACTACACCGTACAAGACAATCCTTCTATGTTTTCTGGAAGAAAAAATAACTAACGATGCCTTTTTCAACATTTCCAGTTAATCCGTCGACTTCAACCATGTCTCAGCCACAAGGAAAGGTGATTCATCTCCCCAAAGTCAGGATGCTCAGTCGTGGCGGCAGGGTGTCTTCTGGAGTACGCATCACCAACGTGAAGTCCATTAAACCACCAGACCCTGAAGTTGTGAAGAAACAGGAGGAGGAGAAACTTAGAGCTCAGGTATTTTGGTTTTTGTCTAAATAGTGTTTTAGAAATGGGTTAGCTTTTTTTGAGGGGGAAAATCTTCAAATGGTTTCAGCTCTTACTGACTAAAAACCATTTCATCTTACTCCTGCTTCGAGCTGGAGCCTCGGTAGCTCATGCGGTCATCCACAACTGCATAGCCTGCGAGTAGTCGAATTATGGTAACGGCCTAGGCCCCATACATTCGCGAAGGACACTCCGGGCGTCGGAGACCAAATGACGATTTTCGGCCACCGAAAGCACGGGCTTGCGGACGGCGAGCATGGGTAGCTAGCTGGTCGGGGGACCAGAACCAGACCTGCGTACGGCACGTCGCGTTTCGCGCGCGCCTCAAAAATCTAGCAGTCCACCACAGATGGGGCCCAGTAGGACTGATGTCGATACGGAGCCGCGGATGACTTAACGGGTTGCCAGGGCTCCGGCTCGAAGTGCAAGAGTAGGAACGGGGTGGTTTTTAGTCGGTACGAGTGACATTCCCTCCAGGGTCGGCCAGGCGGGAGAAGTCATTCGATGATTTTCCAAGAAAAAAAAGAAGGCTCCATACACGGGACTCGTAAGTTTAAAAATAACTATCAAAAAAGGGTCTATTAAGTACGTGTATGTAACCCACGTTACTCCATTTCATTGTAATTGTTAGCACTTAACAATTTTCGAGGACTAAACTGAAATATGCACCAGTTATCGTAATTTATAATTCTTTTATGTTTATTTAAATACTAGCTGACCCAGCAAACTTCGTACCGCCAAAAACTTCTTTTCTCTCCCTTCTTTAAGCCTTCCCAGGGCTTCCACGAACATTTCAAGACCAAAATTAGCCAAATCGGTTCAGCTGTTCTCGAGTTGTAGCGAGACCAACGAACGGACATTCATTTTTATTTATATTTTTATTTATATACTAGCTGTCCCGGCAAACTTCGTACCGCCTAAAAGATTTTTCTCACCTTTTAAACCTTCCCTAGACTTCCAAGAACCTATCAAGACCAAAATTAGCCAAATCAGTTCAGCCGTTCTCGAGCTTTAGCGAGACTAACGAACAGAAATTCATTTTTATTTATATAGATACATATAGCTTTTACCACACACACAACTTTGCGTCACAAAAGGATAAAAGTAGCCTTTGTGACATACCAATATACACAGCGCCATCTATACCAATTCTTTTGTTTTCCCTCAGGAATATCAAAATTTTCCGGGATAAAAAGTACCCTATTATTTATTCCGGACTTCTAACTTTACGCCTGCAAAAATTCAAAGCAATCGGTTAAGAAGTTACGGCGTGAAAGCGGAACAAACAAACAAACTCACTTTCCCATTTATAATAGTAAGGATATACATTGATTACCTATATTAACCAAAAAATTGTTTTTTACAGCTTCAAAAGGAAATTGTCTCTCGTTCCCGTCTCTGTGCCAACAAAAGCTACGAATGCCTGCTCCCAGTTGTATCCGGACGGCAGTACTGCTACCGCCATATTCTACGAGATCCAACAGCGCCGTATAGACAATGTAACCATACCTTCGGCAATGGAGAGCGGTGTAATATGCCCGCTCCCATTGATTCTAGAGATCATAGAGATCCAGGGTGAGTAAAACCTTAAAACTATTGTAACCTTTCTAGACAGACTGTGAAATCTATTTAGTTTTCGTTCCCGCGTCATTACAACTTTCTATAAGGAGTACTTTCCATTCGTCATTTGTATTTAGTTAAAATAAAACATAGAGATTCGCACATAAAACCCTAGACTTGAATTTGTAGGCACTATTCGCATCGCACCCGACGAGAAACACCCCTTTGAGAATTACATGATATGCTGTTTTGATAATGTACTATGAGTTCGTATGCGCTTTCGAAGTTTGCTCTTTGCAATGGTTCATCATTTATTTCAATCAATAACTAATTGTAATTAATTAATTGTATTTAAACTGTCAAACACCAAGCGGTCACCGGTGACCGCAACCTATTGTTCTATAATTGTGTCTATAATGACGGTACTCGACGAGTTAACTGACTTCAAAAAGAACAAAATGAAGGTAGAACGAACAAAAAGAAGACCTGTATATTTATGCGCGAACATCTCGCGATTGGCTGAACCGATTTTTATGCGGTTTTTAAGACAACTCACATGATAGTTTAAAATACGGAAAGTTGATTCTCTTAACTGTCTGTATTGAAGGTAAATAATATTATAACCATGTTATTAATATTTTCAGCTTATGCTTCGAGCACGCCCGAGCAGCGCTGTACGCTCGGCAGCGCAGCGCGGCCGCTCCACCGCCCGTCGTCACTACAGAGACTCTGCTCAACCAGCTACAGCATTATGTTAAGTAAGTGTCGTTAGACTCCTTACAAATATTATAAAAACGACGAAGGCATGACATGAGATTTTTTTATTGGATAAATTCGACAGTTTACTTCGAAACTATTCGAAACGAAATATTCGGCACGAATGGGCCGGCTCGACCGGAGTGATACCACGGCCTCACAGAAAACCGACGTGAAGCAACGCTTGCATTGTGTTTCGTCGCGTGATTGAGGTTACCGGAGGCCCAATTTCCCTCCCCTTCCCCAATCTCCCCAATCCCTGAATCCCCAACAATCCTCAAACTCCTAATCCACAAATAGCCGGTAACGCACTTGTAACGCCCTGGTGTTCCAGGTGTCCATGGGCGACGCCGATTGCTTTCCATCAGGTGATACGTCTGCTCGTTTACCGGCTTATGCCATAAAAAAAAAAAAAAAAAAAAATAGTAGAGGAACCTATAATAATTTACTAACTTATCTTCCAGGCCAGAACGTCCTCGTACGACATCCTGTGCATCATCAGTGTCAGTGGTCAGTGATCCAGCTGAACAGGAACAGGCTGAACCACAAGTCGTTGATCCTTTCAGTAAGTACCTCTCAGTCGTACGGTCCCTTTTGTGCCTTTAGGTTTAAGTCACTCTGTCTCCTACATAAATTCACCGAGGGAAAGGAAAACTATCTTGTTTTTTCTTCTCCTCTACGAATATCTTCTGATTCATGTCCCTAAGACGCGCCATATTTCAGTGTTTTGGTGTTTTCATGGTTGTATCCACTGAAGATTCTGGCTTATAGGAGTTGTAGCGGTTTAGGGAGGCTGTGGCGGGTTTGTCCCCATAAAAAAAACATCTAGAAACAAATCAAAGCAATGGCCTAGAGGAGGTCCCTAATCTGGAGTGAACTGTTGATGATATTTACCTACATAAACTACACACACGCGCGCGCACACACACACACTTATGTGTAGTAGTTATATTTATTTTAATGTATACATTATTTATTTGGTATGTAGGTATAGATAGTATTACATTGTATGTATTGTTTTAATTATTATTGTACACTAGACGACCCCCTTTTTCCAACTCCTGATTACTGGCTCCATCCAAAGGTTGTCTGTAAGAAATCGCATTCTGCGATAAGACCGCCCATTGTACACATTCTTTTTATGTTTATTTTTCTACGTGTGTTTTTATGGTGTACAATAAAGTGTGTAAATAAAATAAATAAACTATTTCATACAATGTTCCAGAACAACTAGACGCAACATCAATAAATACTGCGTACGCTACATCAATGATGGAGTGTGCCAGTTGTAGCGACAGTGACGGCGAGAGTGTGACGCTGGGCCCCGGCGGGGACTGTCGCGCGGGGGACCACGAGGACCTCTCCGATACTGAGGACGCGCCCTGTGAGGACTTGCCACTCTGGTAACTATAATACCTTTTTTTGAGGAGGGGAAATCATATCTGGCTTCTCCCACCTTGGGTGAGGCGAGAAGGAGTGTCAGACTCTTACTGACTAAAAACCACTCCGTTCTTACTTCTGCTCTTCGAAGCCCCGGTTACCCGTTAAATCCTCCGCGGCTCCGTAGAAAAGGTCTTAAAGCTGAAATCGTACATCGTCTTAAAGCAGACTCATTACCCAATCGACCGCGATCAATACAGCTATAGTAGCTAGTTTAGGGACCGGAGAGTAAAGTTCCTTAAGATCGTAAAAGATGGATCTTCCGACCATTTTTTTTTTTTTTTTTTTTTTGAGTGGGGAAAATCATCCAATGACTTCTCCCGCCCGGGTGAGGCGGGAGGGAGTGTCAGACTCTTACTGACTAAAAACCACCCCGTTCCTACTCCTGCACTTCGAGCCGGAGCCCCGGCAACCCGTTAAGTCTTCCGCGGCTCCGTATCGGCATCAGCCCTGTTAGGCCCCATCTGTGGTGGTCTGATGGCTCCTTGAGGCGCGCGCGGAACGCGACGCGCCGTACGCTCGGGCCTGGTTCTGGTCGGGCGGCGAGCTCGCCGTCCGCAGGCCCGTGCTTACGGTGGCCGGAGATCGTCTCGCGATCCCCGACGCCCGGAGTGTCTCTCGCGACGGCCGGGTCGTGAGGAGGTTCGTTCCCTCACGCGCGGGCTTTCTGACCAATAGTTCCCTTCGTCGGGTCTTCTCTGCGTCCCCGGTTGGGGGCGCGAGGTCGCACGATCCAGGCCGATGCCTGTCTCGGCGGTTTCGCTCGCTGCCTGCTACAGCAGGCGAGGGGTTGGGTTAGTCGGGCTCCTCGCGGCGCCCGATGCGGTGTACAGTCCGGGTGGTTTGCCCCGCCACGAGCCACGCTCTAGTTGGGCAAGCCTAGCGAACAGCAAGTACATTATTTGGGAATGGGATCAATATTTCTATTACATGAGAGTCATAACATAACTGATCAAAAGTGGACCTGTGAATGTTATATATTGTTTATCCACATGTGCCTTCTTTATTTTAAAACTTTATTAATTTCAGGAAAGCAGGAGTCTACACAGCTGAGGAAGCGGTCTCCGTAGCCAAGACGTGCCTGAAGTTGTTACAATCTGCGTATATAAAGCAAATGTCGAGGCTCCGAGTGTTACTGCAGAGCGCTAGACTTAATTATTTACGAGATATGAAGGCGGAGAAGGAACAGTATTGTGAGTGATTATTTTTTAGTGTATTTTTTATGACTTATTCAAGTTTTACAACTGCTTTAACTACCCCGCTATAATCAGTACATCAAAGGTTAATGGATTTTCTATCAAGAACATACACCAATTCAGAGAATTTCTATTACAATTAATTTTTAAAGGAACTTTTTCCATCAGAGAAGATTTTTTATAAAAATAAGCCGGTCAACGAGCCGACGGATCACCTGATAGTAAGCAATCGGCGTCGCCCATGGACACCTGGAACACCAGAGGTTTTAGAAGTGCGTTACTAGCCTTTTACGGTTAAGGAATTTGAAGTCTGTTGGGGATTCAGGGATTGAGGAGGGGAGAAGTTAATTGGACCTCCGGTAACCTCACTCACAAGACGAACAGAATATATCATTTTCTATAAGTACAGAAACTAACCTTTGGCTGACTGACCAATGGTTACATTAGATATGGCTTCATTATTAGAAGGCATGTTATTTAGCATTATAGTAGCTACTATCTCTATACTGAATATGTATACTAAATAACTAGATTGACTGTCAATCATCAGCCTATAAACGCCCACTGCTGACCAAAGCCTCTTCTCACATGGTCTAACCTCCATCAATCTCCACGCTTGCTCAATGCGGGTTGGCGATTACAAACTTATAATTAGAAATTATAAGCCCAGGTTTCCTCACGATGTTTTCCTTCACCGTTTGTCAGTGGTGTCTAGATAATCTTAGAAAGTACATATAACTCGGAAAAAATCACATAGGTTTCGACCGAAAGAGTAATTGGGTAGTTGCCTTCATCAAAAATATATTATTGCACTGTTCAATACAAAAAGTATTATAATAGCACTTTCATTAATTGATTTTATGAACAACTTAATTTTAGTATTTTTCTACCATATTTTTAAGAAATAAGTATGCTGTTTGACGTTAAAAAAACGTGACGTCACAATACACAATCTCGTACAAAAAATTCATAGAAAACTGTCGTTTTTGACAGTTCGAAAAAAGTATTATATACTAGTTGGCAAGTACCCTAATAGGGTACTAAGCGCAATAATGCGCAATTCCAAAAGTAGGTCCAGCTTTGCTCCTTTTCAGTACGATCCGCTTGCAGTGGAAACACTGACCACTCTTAACCGATCTTTTCCCAGCTCCGCTCCGCCCAGCTCAGCGTCAGTGAAAAGGCCGCCTTAAACCTCCGGGACTCACTGTTGTACAATGTACATAACACTAATAAAACATTATTATATATTCTCAGGCAGTATAAACGCACAATCCCGTGGCGGTCCGCTGACAGTTCGCGAGCGGCGTCAACTGCGCAAATTGAAGGCGTTCGCCAGCTACCATAGAAAGCACGGACAGGACGCCGTGCTAGCTAGGAAACTGCATCGGAAAAGGGATAAGGTATGTTATTCATATTTATTTACAAGAATATAAGAAGTACTTAAATAATAACAATAACACGAAAATAAAAAAAAGTGTACATCTTTATTTTATTTTCTTAAAATTAAATATAATTATATAACATACATACATACATAACTTCACGCCAGTCTCCCATGGGGGTAGGCAGAGACTATGGTACGCTAATTACTACGATTACTACATACCTCTTTATCAACAGTCATCAATGTTTTCATGCATGCTCGTCGGTTAATGGTACTTTTAATTTGGCCCTTCTTTAATATATCCCTCTACCGACGGCCCCATTCATATCCGCTCTGTATACTTCTTTCGTTATATATAAGTAGGTATATAATTATTAGTAGGTAGGTATATCATCATTATCAAAAATCTACGACACATCCACTGCTGGGTCTGCTCCAAGCTTAGAGACGCAGTTTAAAAGATTCAGGTGGATCAGAGAACGCTGCTTGGTCTCTGTTAAATGCTTTGTCCCTTATTTAGCTCTTATGAAACCCACGCGAAGAGGACGGACAAGACATTGTGTTTGCTAGGAAACTGCATCGCAAAAAGGGTGAGATATGTAGGCTCAACTATCTTAATATTCAAAACAGCATAATAGAGGCTGTCTTTAACACCTATGTAGTTTCTTTCAAAACTCAAGACCGATCCAAAGATTTTCTTAAAAGTTATTATTCGTCAGTTTCCTCGTTTATCGGCGTTCTTACATATCCAAATATCACAATAATAACATCTTGTTTTCATTCCAGCTGAGCAGTACATCGACAGCGACGCGTCCGCTACCGTCCCAGGCGCGGTGCACGTTCTCTGAGGGAGGAGTACGATGTCCGGCGCACGTACTGCCCGCCGCGCGGCACTGTCTCAAGCATATACTGCACGATACTAACCAGGTATGTTGCATTTTTTTATGGGATAAACCGGTAAACAAGCAGACGGATCACCTGATGGTAAGCAATCGGCGCCGCCCATTGACACCTGAAACACCGGAGGCGTTACAAGTGCGTTACTTAGTTTTTAGTCAAATTTCCGTGGTGCTTGGCGACTGGGCTTCACCCAGTTGTACAGTGTCTTCTTTGTGCCTTTAGGCTTAATTCATTCTGTCTCCTGCAGTAATTCACCGAGGGAAGTGAAAACCATAGTTTTTTCTTCTTCTCTTCTTATAATATCTTCTGATTCACTTCGTTGCGGGAACCAAGACAGTTACTCATGTCCTGTTGTGTGTTCCTGTGTTTTCATGGTTGTATCTACTGTAGATCCTGGCTTACAGGAGTTGCAGCGGTTTTGGGAGGTTGTGGCGGGCTTGTCCCATAAAAAAAAAGTGCGTTACTGGCCTTTTCGGAATTGCGAATTTGAGGATTGCTGGGGATTTGGGGATTGGGAAGACTTGTAATTGGGCCTCCGGTAACGGTTGTGTTTCGCGTCGGTTTTCTGCTCGGCCGTGGTATCACTACGGTCCAGCCGGCCCATTCGTGCCGAAGCATGGCTCTCCCACACTTTTTGCATTATATGGTTATAGGCTCACCCTCTAGCCTAGTAACATGGGATTCATAACTTAATTAGTGAAAAGTGGGTGTGACATTGTGTATGTGGACAGTATCGTCTTTACCATCCCCACGGCGCCCCGAAGGACCGACAATTTCTACGACATTCACTACACGTTGCGCGGCTACCGGCTGCCGCGCAACTTTCATGCGGTTTCGATACCCGCACGGAGCAAATCTCTGTGTGATCCACAAATTGTTGTTTCGGGTCTGGGTGTCATGTGTGTATGAACTTGTACGTTTGACAATGCACCTACGATACAGGAGAAAATCCTTTTTTAGAGATTAAAAGCAATGTGTTATAATGAATGAAATTCATCTCCATTAGGATAACTAACAAAAAAGCTAATGATATATTGTCTTTTACTGCTCAAAGGTGGTAAAAGCACATTTTTAATTCAAAACCATCGTTATATCAGCCACAACAGGTCCACCGTCTCTATGACACCTAAATCGGCTGATTAGAACCGACCAGCCTGTATTCATCTCCACAACTCCCTGCGACCTTTACCTCATCTCTACTTAATGTATTAATTATTATGGTTTTTGGTTTACTCACGTAATTATTTGACGAGAAACTCGACTAGTTTCAAGTCACGCTAGAGGCTTGAAACTAAACTTGAGATTCATGAGCAACATTCCGCGACCCGCGACTGTCGCGCTGCTACGTGAGTAAGCAGAAAAACATAATAATTAATTTGGTATGTCTCACGAAAGTTATAATATAAATATAAATTTATTTAATTCCAAGATAGTTAAGTTTTAATAATAATTTTACTTAATTCCAGGTACTATTCGCGCCTTGCGGCGACACTCGAGGAGTGGCTTCGTGTCGGGAGCCGGTCGCTAAGCTCCCTCTACCATCCTCAGCGTGCCGCTACCACACCGACCCGCCTGTTTATACTGTTTTTAATTTGAAGGTATATTCGTTATTATACTAAAATTGTAGTAGCATTCTATTAGGTGTACTGCCTTGCATATTCCCAAGTTAAAGATCTGGCTAACACTGCAGTTTAATTCTTGAATTGAGAGACCTAATGGGATTGAATTCACTGTTAAAAAAGCAGAACTAAATAATCTAAGCCCAACCATGTATCCTAATACAAAACTCGCAGTGAACGTAAACTTCCTTACATAACATAACATCACGCCTTTTTATACCCGAAAGGGTAGGCAGAGGTGTACATTTCGGCACTTAATGCTGTACAATGTAACACCCACTTTTCACTATTCATGTTATGGGTCCCATGTAATAGGGGGTGAGCCTATTGCCATATACCGGGCACATTTCCAGACTCCGTGCTGAGATTTTTTAAAAACCCAGTAATGCTTTGCCCGACCCGGGAATCGAACCCGAGACCCTTTGCCCGGCAGTCGCACTTGCGACCACTCAGCCAACGAGTCAGTAAACTTCCTTATTTGTCTGATACATCAAAAATCTGAATATGTAAATAACAACTCATAATAATAAATAACAACGCAATGTAATCAAATGGATAAAAACATGCAAACTGTCTAATTTCCCATTCCCCTTGTATCTAGTCATAGGGCGAAGATTATTAAAATACATTTTTTCTAATAACATTATAATCTCATTCCACAGAAGGACGGATCCGACACAGAATCGGAGCCACAATCAACATCAGACGAGTCTCACGTAGAAGAAGCTGATGCTTCAACGGACGACCGCGTAGGCGTCCAGGAGCTGGAGGAAGTCGAGATGACGTCCTTCATTCCTCCAGAGCTAACGGATGAATGACGAATAGCTGAACTGGTCTACCAAATGTATGAGGACTTTGGACAGTGATAGACAGTGTTACAAAACGATATTTTCGTCTCATTACATGGGATGTATAACTTAATTGGTGAAAAGTGAGTGTTATATTGTATATGAACGCCTCTGACTACCCCTTCGGCGGTTAAAAGGTGTGATGTCGTGTTTGAACGTGTTTAAAAACTATTACGGAGGATATTTTCCAAAGGACATCAAATAATAGTGATTTGTGCTGTGTAGTGCTGTGTAAACAACATTTGGTATCGAAAAATGTGATTAAAACTGTTAAAATTTGGTGTGAGACTGACTTGCCTAAAGTGAAACAACTATAACAATGCCTTTTGACCTAGAAAATGAATCTAAATTGCGTACAAAATAGAAATTGAGACCATGACTTACAAATTAGTGGCACATAGCTTAAGATATTATGTGAACTATGAAAGAGTAGGAGAAAGAGAAACAGTAAAAAACTAAACGTTATGTACTGATGTTAAATAAAACTTGTCAAAGCCTTGTAACTATGACTTATAGTTAGTGAAAAATCATTATTTGTAAGAACTATCAAAGATTTAAAATTGAATGTAGGTATATGTGCTGATAAAAATAAGTGATTTAAAACCTGCAATACCTGCTAAATGTAATGAATATTCATGCAGAAATGAGTCAGTCAGTTAGTCAAATAATGGCCTGGCCCGACCGGAGTGATACCACGGCCTCACAGAAAACCGACGTGAAACATCGCTTGCGTTGTGTTTCGTCGTATGAATGAGGTTACTGGACGCCCAATCTACATCTCCAAATGCCGGCAACGCTCTTGGTAACTCCTCTGGTGATGTGGGTGTCCATGGGCGACGCTGATTGCTAATTATGAGGTGACTAGCGGACCCAACAGACGTTGTCCTGCATATCCACTTGAATGTATAAACAAAATTTCATTCAAATTAGTTCAGCTGTTTAGGATAAATAACCTAAACATCTGCCAGGCTGATTTGTGAATCTAAACCATTCCCAAATCCCCTTGAACACACACAAAAAATTTCATCAAAATCGGTCCAGTCGTTTGAGAGAAGTTCAGTGACATACACACAGAAGAATTATATATATAAAGATATGTCTGCTCATTTACCGCCCTATTCCGATAAAACAACAATAATGACATTGCGAGTATTTTCGCAGTGTTTAAAAGAAAACTGTGATAAAAGTTGACAGAAAAAGTGGAATGGCACTTTAGATTTGTAATGAAAGAAAGAAAACTAATTTATTCAGCACTTTTTTTAAGGGGGGAAAATCTAATATAAGACTAAAAACCAACCTGTTCCTTCTCCTGCACTTTGCGCCGGAGTCCCGGTTACCCGTTAGGTTCTCCGCGACATGATGGAAAGGACAAGGGGGAATAAAGTTGTGCAATTCACACACATTGCACCGAAATATATACGATAAAATCGAATAGCTTGCACTTTGCGCTTGTGTTCGAGCCTTTGAAGCTGGGCCTCCACGAGCATAAATAACATATAATGAGGCATCAAAACAGACTTACTTTCGCATTTATAAAGAGTTGGTATTACCCCACCGACTAATTCATCATCATCAACAGCCTATAAGGCCTCTTCTCATACGGAAAAGGTTTGAGCATCAACCACCCACAAGCTTATAGCATGTATAGTATCTGTAATTTAAGATTCCTAATATTTCCTATGTAAAGTTGAATTTGTAAAAAGTAAAAATGTTGATTAAAATATATAATATTGTTGAAATCTTATACCTTTCGTAAGACATACAAAATTAATTATGTTTAACGACTTACGTAACTGTTTGACGAGATTCGTGGCTGTGAGCCCACAGCCGGGCTCGAAACTAGTTGACTTCCCTCGTAAGTAAAACGTCAAGCATAATTTTTGAATTTGATTAAAAATGGGTGATAAAAGAATTGAAATAGTGAGAATTTTGAAGGGTACAGATTTAATATAGGATTGTAAAATGCTTTGATATTGTAAAAAATAGCCTTTAGATGTGTAATTCTGACTATAATGTGAATTGTTGTAATTCTAATGTTATTTTAAGAATTAATCGCTTCTATGTAATCGGCGTATGATATTTTTAAATGCTTGAAATGTTATGACCAGTGAACTTACTCTTGAACCCAATTCCGATCGATCGACATTGACATTGTGAAATTTCGTACTCTTGAGTTGCAACACTAGCGCCCATTGCATCCGTATTACGTGGATATTGAATTAACTAAATGGTATTGAGGCTTTATATTCCGTACTGTGAATGCTATTTTAACAGCTACAATAGGGGTTGCATAGTTTTGACATTGAATAATTATTGAGTTTTGCAATTGCATTGACATTGAGATTGGTTTCAAGAGTAAGCCCTAGTATCTAAATATTTTCCTAACACATTTGTTTAAAATGCGAGATTTAATTGATTTAATTGATAATTTCAATTTTTAACTAATTCAATAATAATTTAGTTCATAAACAATGTTTAGAAAAATATATAGGTACCTACATAACAGTCTGAACTGCTGGCCTCTGTTATTAACAGAGGTCAGCAGTTCAAGCTACTACAATCTGTAATTTTTTTCATTGCATTTTTGACTTAGGCTAATAAATTTGAAAATGAAATTAAAATTTGTGCAAAGGAGAAAGTTGACGTGCATGGCCAATGTAACCAGTCCCCAAAGGGGCTTAAAACTTCCTAATCAGTTGTTCCCTATCAATCCACAATTCCTAAAGCAGGGCTAATAAAGTGATTGAAAAGCTAAATTCATAAAAATGTACACTTAATATATTATTCACGTTGTTACTTGCCAAAAATGTATAAAAACAGTATTCTGTGTTGCTTTTCTAGTCCATAAAATGTTTTCACAAAATAATGATGTAAAAGATCTGAATGTTTCGAATGGATACCAAATAAATACATTCCTTGAATATTTTGATTGTTTTTGTTATCATATCGTTTTGATACCTACCTTAGGTTTTGTTCCATTGGGTTGAGCTGAATATTTCATCATCAACAGCAGCCAAAGTCAAAATCGTTTATTTCAAGCAACAGAACAAAATATTACTACATGAAATAACGTGTGCATTGATTGTCGTATGAAACCGCACCGTACCGCTCCAGGGCCTCTAGCCAAAAACCACTTTAGCGCTTGTCTACAGAGAGAGTAGAAATCAAAATGTATGGAGATGACACTGACAAGTGTCAAAATTTACGTCAATTCCATATAATTTGGTTTTCTATTCTACATGTAGACAAGCGCTAAATGGCATTTGGCTAGCACTGCAGCTCGCTCCGGGCCGCTCCGGCCCGTATCCGTCAAATTACGGAAAGTAAAACCCCGGCGATAGACCAGGAAATGCACATTTGAACGTCAACAAAATATTTAAAGTAAGCTATGTGCTTATTCCAAGGTGCAGATTCCTATTGAGAAGAACGAGCAAGAAACTCCATAGGTTACTTTTTTTCAATCAGGTTCACAATACAATTTTCAGCGAGTGATAATCCCCGACTGGAGTATGAACCTCCTCTACATAAGGTTTCGCCATAATCTTCACATTGCTGCCTTGTCTCTGGCAAACGTGTAGTCCCTTTGTCGGGTCATGTGGCACCCGTGGGAAGGCTAGGGGTGGTGTCAAGTCAATTCTACTCCGTCAGCATAAAAGACTATAATTTTAACATCACGTATGAGAGAAATAAATAAAATGTATTTATTAAAACCTCTTTTTGTATCTGAAAATCGAAAATTTCTCGAAAACTAGACGTCCTAAACCTTAGCAAAAAAATACCCAGAATTTCGAGCCTAGGTATCAACACCCCCTGTTGGGTGACCTGTCTCAGAAACAGGAGATAAGTTTAATAAAATTAAATACTGTGCAATTTATTCATAGTTTTTGGTCTTTTGTGGAAGTTCCGGCCATAAAAAAAATGCTACGTATCGTTAGTAGTAACCATTTGGAGCAAAAGTTAATATGGCGTAAAAGTTGTAGGATCCAAGATGAAGAAGTTATACCAGTTCGAAGATTGATCATTTTCATACATTGATTGCTTTCTACAGGTAATCTGGTCAATTTAGGCCTAAGATAAGGAGGAAGGTTACATAAATTCATCAGAAGCTGAATCTTAGCAGAATTGTTCAAAACATTTTTTTATGGCACAAGCTGGTAAACGAGCATACGGATCCCCTGATGGTAAGTAATCGGCGCCGTCCATGGACACATGAAACACCAAGGCGTTACAAGTGCGTTATCAGCAGTTTGGGATTAGAAATTTAAGGATTGTTGGGGCTTCAGGGATCCCCCGGTAACCTCATTTACACGATGTAACAACTCAAGCGTTGTTTCACGTCGGTTTTTAGTAAGGCCGTGGATAACTCCGGTCGAGCCGGCCCATCAGTGCCGAAGCATCATCATCAACAGCCGGAAGACGTCCACTGCTGGACAATGGCATGTGTGTAAGTGCCGAAGCATGGCCCTTCCAAACTTAAATCATAATTATAAAAGAAACCTCAGAAATCCTCATCGTTCTGATGTTCGTTAAAAATTTGGCATGAGGTCTAAGGATAAGAAAATGAGTTTTTTCTCAATAAAATTGTAGATCACAAAATTCTCTACAAAATTGTATTAATAACTTTTCCTAAAAACCATCATTTTGGAGATATATCGCTTTAAAAAGTTGGTAAACGACTTGTTTAAATAAGTTGCGGTACGCATCTTTCTTTAAAAATACGAGTACCTAATAAAAAGCAGGTTCAATTAGCTTCTCTTCCTCCAGCCTTAATAGCTGCTCACCAACGTATGATTCGGGTACCTATATTACTAAGTTCAAATGTGGCTTGGTAATCAGCTGGACCCTAAAGACTGGGGTCGGAGGTTGGTCGACAATATCCTAGAGCCAGTTCAAATTTTACTTCCACCAGCACCTGAGAAGCTTTTCAATACAATATGTTGCAATTAAAAAAAAGGTTGTATCTAATGCTAAATTTGGTTGTAAAAGCGTTGGAGTATTTCGTTCCCTGGCATGCAGGTACTGTCAAGGCAAATCGTGCTCGAATATAGGTGTGCGTTACCCAGGCAAAATGTTTTGCTTTAGAGAGATGAGACTTAAACAAATAATTAGTGTATCATGAGGAGCAATTTGTTTACTAATAGCAAAATTTGTTTGAATTGTAGTTTTTAAGTTATTTGAGAAAAACAAATTTTGCTGGAGTAACGTTTGAAACGTTACCCAGGCAAAATAGTCTTTCAAAAATTAGTTTCAGCACGGAACCAAATACATGAATAGATAGCTTTTGTTGCGTAGTAAATGTTTATAAATAGCAAAATTTGTGTGTGGTATAGTTCTTTAGTTATTTAAGATTTTGCTGCGGTAACGTTTTGGGATTTCCCAGATCTCGAAAACGGCTCAACGCAGAAGTTTGAAAAAAATACCAATAAAAGACCTCAATTTGTTTAAATTTGTTTAATCATTAGTTTTTGATTTGGTTGACGTAAACCAATGTAATTAAATGGTTTCAAAAATCAGAAGAAACGGGTTTGCAAGTAAACCAATACACTTATAACCAAATAAACAGCTGTAAAAAATACCCGTGGTTCGACGCTTGTTTACAGCAGACATTTTAGATTTCATACTTTACACGTTAAGAAGATAAAAACAAATTTGATTTATTTTAGACTGGTCGTACTTTAGCGATCGAATACGCAGTTCCCATAACATTAAGAAACATGGCATACTTTAAACAAATTAAAATGATTCATGAAAATTCCTTCCTGTTAATTTCAGCTTTGAATTACGGCTCTAATGAAAGTTATCTCAAAAACAAGAATATGTCAGCAATTCTCTAATAAGCCGACCAAATTGAAAAGGTCACGTAAAAGCGACTGCACCGTACGTACGGGTAATCTTCGCAAATTAGCAGCTTGGTAACCGATGTTTTGTACAGTTAAGCAGAAAAACGTTATTCGTGAAGCCGATTTTTTAATATTTTTTAAGTGCAGTACCATATTACACAATTTTTACTAGTTAATGCCAATTAAAATGCCATACTGTGAGTCGAGGTGAAATGGAGTCCACCTATCAACCTACGTTATTAGTACCTCCTAAGGAAAATTGTACAAACTATTAATGTATCCAAATATTAAAATTAAGTAAGTAGGTTATAACTTATCTGTGATTTTTCTCTAAAAATGTTGATGCTAAGGCAAAGCAATACATATAATTTGTATGAGACTGATTTTTTAAATAAAAATAATGAATCTTAACCATTTTATTATTTTAACTAACCTGACCAGAAAACTTTTGTATTCAACTGTACTAACAAAACATCTATATTATCCTGTTCATTTCAGATGGTTGCGCTTATGTATGGTGCGGTCGCTTTTATGTGACCTTTTCAATTTGGTCGGCTCATTAGAGAATTGCTGACATAATCTTGTTTTTGAGATAACTTTCATTAGAGCCGTAATTCAAAGCTGCAATTAACAGGAAGGAATTTTCAGGAATCATTTTAATTTGTTTAAAGTATGCCATGTTTCTTAATGTTATGGGAACTGCGTATTTGATCGCTAAAGTACGACCAGTCTAAAATAAATCAAATTTGTTTTTATCTTCTTAACGTGTAAAGTATGAAATCTAAAATGTCTGCTGTAAACAAGCGTCGAACCACGGGTATTTTTTACAGCTGTTTATTTGGTTATAAGTGTATTGGTTTACATGTAAACCCGCTTCTTCTGATTTTTGAAACCATTTAATTACATTGGTTTACGTCAACCAAATCAAAAACTAATGATTAAACAAATTTAAACAAATTGAGGTCTTTTATTGGTATTTTTTTCAAACTTCTGCGTTGAGCCGTTTTCGAGATCTGGGAAATCCCAAAACGTTACCGCAGCAAAATCTTAAATAACTAAAGAACTATACCACACACAAATTTTGCTATTTATAAACATTTACTACTCAACAAAAGCTATCTATTCATGTATTTGGTTCCGTGCTGAAACTAATTTTTGAAAGACGATTTTGCCTGGGTAACGTTTCAAACGTTACTCCAGCAAAATTTGTTTTTCTTAAATAACTTAAAAACTACAATTCAAACAAATTTTGCTATTAGTAAACAAATTGCTCCTCATGATACACTAATTATTTGTTTAAGTCTCATCTCTCTAAAGCAAAACATTTTGCCTGGGTAACGCACACACTTTTCATAGCGTTATATCTCCAAAATGGTGGCTTTTAAGAAAAAAGTTATTGATGTATTTTTTGTAGAGAATTTTGTGATATACAATTTTGTACTGAGTAATTTTGCGTAAAATTAACCGTTTCGCTAAAAATCGCAAAAATTCTATTTTATTTCAACTTTGACCTCCTGCCAAATTTCTCGGAATGGACATATTTACCGGTATAAGGTTCAGAAGATGAAATCGTAACATTAAATGATAATTAGGACACTACAACTGTCCGCGGTCGCGGGGGTTTTTTTTTGATGGGGAAAAATCAACGAATTGTTGCTCCCGCCTGGGTGAGGCGGAGTCGGAGCCCTGGTTACCTGTTAGGTTCTCCGCAACTCCGAATCGGCATCGGCCCTGATGGGCCCCATCTGTGGTGGTCTGATGGCTCTTTAAGGCGCGTGCGGAACGCGACGCGCCGTACGCTCGGGTCTGGTTCTGGACGGACGGGGAGCAGGACCCATGCTCGCCGTCTGCAGGCCCGCGCTTACGGTAGTAATAAGTAACCTAAGGTTTTTAAGTAGGTAACCTAAGGTTTTTAAGTAACCTAAGGTTCTTAATTAACCGAAGGTTTTTAAGTAACCTAAGGTTTTTAATTAACCTAATGTTTTTAATTAACCTAATGTTTTTAATTAACCTAAGGTTTTTATTTAACCTAAGGTTTTTAAGTAACTTAAGGTTTTTAATTAACCTAATGTTTTTAAGTAACCCAAGGTTTTTAATTAACCTAAGGTTTTTAATTAACCTAAGGTTTTTAATTAACCTAAGGTTTTTATTTAACCTACGGTTTTTAATTAACCTAAGGTTTTTAAGTAACCTAAGGTTTTTAATTAACCTAAGGTTTTTAAGTAACTTAAGGTTTTTAATTAACCTAATGTTTTTAATTAACCTAAGGTTTTTAATTAACCTAAGGTTTTTAATTAACCTAAGGTTTTTAATTAACCTAAGGTTTTTAATTAACCTAAGGTTTTTAATTAACCTAAGGTTTTTAATTAACCTAAGGTTTTTAATTAACCTAAGGTTTTTAATTAACCTAAGGTTTTTAATTAACCTAAGGTTTTTAATTAACCTAAGGTTTTTAATTAACCTAAGGTTTTTAATTAACCTAAGGTTTTTAATTAACCTAAGGTTTTTAATTAACCTAAGGTTTTTAATTAACCTAAGGTTTTTAATTAACCTAAGGTTTTTAATTAACCTAAGGTTTTTAATTAACCTAAGGTTTTTAATTAACCTAAGGTTTTTAATTAACCTAAGGTTTTTAATTAACCTAAGGTTTTTAATTAACCTAAGGTTTTTAATTAACCTAAGGTTTTAAATAACCCAAGGTTTTTAAGTAACCCAAGGTTTTTAAGTAACTTAAGGTTTTTAAGTAACCTAAGGTTTTTAAGTAACCTAAGGTTTTTAAGTAACCTAAGGTTTTCCACAAAAACGTTGAGAAAAAGGCATAGTCACAGACACTGACATTTTGGTTTTTCTTTCTAAATGACATTATGTATGCCTTTATTTCAACGCCCTTTGTTTTTCAAACGATATATTTAGGGTAAAAATAAAACTCCAGAATACACATGTAAAAAATAAACTGTATTCAACACAAGTCCAGCGAATATTAAAATCATAATTAATTGACAAATCAACAACTTTTTTATATTAAAAATAATAATTAACATTGTACAAGAATTTCTATGGAATGTTCCAAAGTCCTTAAATATATCAAAATGCATTTTAAAACATAAATATTAATTATACTACGCTTTTACATTGCGCATTTTGAAAACTACATACATTCAATAAAATAACATCCATGTGGGTGCCGGGGGGTATCGTTAGTGAAAATGCAAAAAGTTTTGCACTATAACCACCAGATGGTGCTAGTTATATGATCTGTTTGTCCAATAGAAAATTAGCTTCGTCAAATGAAAACAATATTAAGTAGGTAACGTATATCATTAATTTACAAAAGGTATCCAAGAAAAAATGCATGGACAATTGACATAATTGGTTTTCCTTGAATTAAAAAATAATCTAGGCTGCTCATGAATGAGCCTCTAGCATAGCTTGAAACTAGTCGAGTTCCTCGTCAAATAATTACGTGAGCAAGTCGGAAAATATAATAATAATAATAAAATTAAAGTCAAATTCGATCCCCACACAGATATACATTGACATAGATTAAATTTACATATAAATGTTGCAATATTAAAACTCCTACGTTTCGCTTGCAACCCACAGCTTTTAAAATTCTTTGAGCATTTTCATTTTGGCATCTATTAACAAATATTCCGTTCGTTAAAACATGGTCATATACGAAACCTTTTTAGGCCATTATTAGTCAAAAATATAGACTGGAATATTTATTGGCACGAAAACATTATTGTTTTCGTATTTGTGCGATCTAGGGTTGCCAGCTCACAATATAAGTGTTACCATATCCGACACTAATACAACAGGAATTAATAAATAAAAAAAGGATTTAAATCTTAATTTTTTTAATCAGTCGTCAAGGGTTGCGTTCGGAAAATTACGTATTTGTTTAAATTCACGTTTTGACTAACATTTAAGACATTTAACTACTGATAAAACATGAAGATTATACTACTAACCTATGGATTACGATTATATGACGAGTATGTATTAAAAACACGGAGATTTTATAAAAAAAATGGATATTATTGTTATTATTATGTATTTGTATCTACTTTAAATCGGTATATATTAATTATTATGCATATTATACGAAAAAACTTCGATTACTACGCGCAACGTATAAAAAATCATTTAAATACTAAATTAATCGCTCAGCTGAAGAAAGAAGAACAAAATAGAGGATTACTTTAAAGAAGACAATAAAAGACAGAAAATAAAAGAAAAGTCTTTTATAACAACAATAAATAAAACAAAATGTCAACCTTTAATCGTCAAAGTCGTAGACAGAGGTGAACACACATGTACTATGTAACACCCACTTTTCACTATTTATGTTATAAGTCCCATGTAATAGGGGGTGACCCTATTGCCATATACCGGGCACATTTCCAGACTTCGTACTACTACTGAGATTTTTAAAAACCCAGTAATTCTTTGCCCGACCCAGGAATCGAACCCGAGACCTTAGATTGTGCCCGGTGTATGGCAATAGGCTCACCCCCTATTACTTGGGACTCATCATATAAATAGTGAAAAGTGGGTGTTACATTGCACAGTGACATTAAGTGCACCTCTGCCTACCCCTTCGGGGATAAAAGGCGTGATGATGTTATAGAATATTAATAAATTAAGAGTTTTTACATAATTTTCCTAACACAACGCTTAGAAAGCCTCACTCCGTTTGTGTGTCAAAATCACTTCTTTTTCTTCATTTGCTTCGCTTTCTTCTTCTCTTCTCGCTTCTTCTCCTTCTCCTTTATAGATTTGTATAGTTTGTAGCCGAAGAATACTGGAATATAGAGAAAATTTGATGTTAGTTGATGTTAGATAAATATTAAAAAAATAACTAAAAACCGCGGGTTATTCACGAGAAAATACTGAGAAAAGCTCTATTAGTATCGGCTACTGACGGTAGATAGAGCTTTCCTCAGTATTTTCACGTGAGTACCCCACAATTTTTAGTTAATTTTGCTCCACACTAGTATTTTTCTCTGTGACATGGGTACGTAAACACAATTTCATAATCAAATTACATCCAGGACAAAAATTGTACATAACATAACATCACGCTTTTTTATACCCTAAGGGGTAGGCAGAGGTGCACATTATACCACTGTACAATGTAACACCCACTTTTCACTATTTATGCTATAAGTCCCATGAAATAGGGGGTGAGCCTATTGCCATATACCGGGCACAATTCCAGACTTTGTGCTACTACTGAGAATATTTAAAAAAAACTCAGTAATACTTTGTCCGACCTGGGAATCGAACCCGAGACCCCTTGCCCGGCAGTCGCACTTACGACCACAACAATGCCAGGTTTCGAACCTAGAAGGTTGTGATCAGAGGCCTTAGTACGAGTTTCATTTACGTTTAAAGTATTCGTAACGAGTACGCGTTCGGCACTCTGGTTGGTTGGTTCATTGGCGCCGGCCAATCAGAGTGCCGAACGCGTACTCGTTACGAATACTTTAATCTTCTTAAATGAAACTAGTACTAAGGCCTCTGATGAGACATACTGAACTGATCACTCGTAAGTCAACCGTCAATATAACATCTCGAGAAACGGACTTATTTATAAAAGTCCCTAAATTTTATTTCAACTACTTACAACTAAATTGCAATAAGAGCATAAGTTTCTCTTCGTTACATAAATCGCACATATTTTCATCTATTCGTTTAAGAGTAAGGAGCTATGGTGCAGACAGACAGCTCAAACTTATAAAATACTAGCGACCCGCCCCGGCTTTGCACGGGTACAATATGCATGTATTATACATATAAACGTTCCTTAAGAATTACTCTATCTATTAAAAAAAACCGCGACTAAATCCGCTGCGTAGTTTTAAAGATCTAAGGATACATAGGGACAGATGGCGACTTTGTTTTATACTATGTAGTGATGTATTAATATGCGTCGACGATTTAAAATAATAGATATTAATAAAGAAGCATAACATTAAGTGTGAATCTGCTGTTAATATAACAAAAATAAATAACAGTCGCAATGCCAACAAAAATATGATAGAACCGAGTACTTTGAGTTCGCATGAGAACAGTCGCCCTTAAGACTATCGAAATCAACGATAACTTAACCGAGGTGAAACAACGCTTGCGTTGTGTTTGGTCGTGTGAGTGACGTTACCATGGGCCTAATTACCTCCTCCCCAATCTCCCCAATCCCTGAATCGTCAACAAACCTTTAATTCCTAATCCCCAAAATACCGGTAACGCACTTGTGTGTTTACACGCTTCTAGTGTTCTGGGAGTCCATAGGCGACGCCGATTGCTTAACATTAGGTGTACTGTCAGATCGTTTACCGGCTTATCCCATGAAAAAAATAAACGTTTAACCCTCTTTTCACTATTTATATTAGTTTTACATAAAAGAGGGTTGACTATACTATACACCGGGCACAATTCCATTATTTATGCTACTACTGCAATTTTCGAAAAACCGTTAAAGGGCCCTTATAATTATTCCGAATGAATCCTATTGCTGTCGCGCTAGCGATCAAACGACCAACAAGGCAGTCAAAAACAAATAAACCCCTACTAATATATAAATGTAAAACATAACTATTAATATAATATCAAAAACGATTTAATTTAATCTACAGCTTAGAAAACCCATGAATTTCAATGTTACCTAATTACTACGGGAATCTGTGTCAAAATACGATAAGTCTTGTAATTTAGATTTTATCTGTTGTATCAAAAGCGATAAAATGACGTCTCTATGGAGGGAATTATCGAAAATATTTCATTAAAACTTGTTTTGTTATTTACACAGTTGGACAAAAATGTTACGTGTTTTAATGAGGAGGATAAATAATCGATTACGTCTATAGTAGTTTATCAACAACTTCATTGATCACTTCTAGTTTTATGGGTGTAATTAACAAAAATATAGAAACTAGTAGCACTATTCTCAGTATATTCACGTGAGTAACCCGCGATTTTTAGTTAAATATATATATATAGCCGTTGTCTGTCCTCAGCCTTCAAACTGTCACCAAACCATTAGTATCAAAATTTTGTTCAAAATATCAACAAGAATATTATATGTTCTACAAGCTATACCTCTATTAATAAGATATCTATTTTATTTAATAAAATCTAGAATAAACTGCTCAAAAACTATAAACCTAAATCAACATATTCATCACATCGAAACTCCCTCAAATTTGATTAAGTTTTAATATCAATAACCAATTTATCACTATCGAAACATTGCCATTTTCAACCGCAATTTTCGCACTAACTTCAAAACGACCTATACCAAACATACCTAGAACTAGCACGAAGATCAGGACTGCAGCAGCTACCATATAGAGCTTTGTCATCACCGCACTTCGGATAGCATCTTCAACACCAGCCAACATGGCGTTATCCTTCAACCTCATGTTCAATTTGCTCGCAAGACCCTCTTTTATCTGCTTAGCGAACTCTCTCTTCTCTTCCGGATTCATATCTCTAAACTTCTCCAGAACTCCTTTTAATTTATTCTGTATGCCTTGTGATTCTTCATCACCAGGTTCCATTGAAACCATTTTTTGTAGCGTACTAAATACGTCCATGTTTTGAATCGATTCTGTTAGCTTATCGCCAATCATTTTGCTGATGGACATTCCTGGGTCCTGTGCTTGTTCTAAGTCTTCTTGATCAGCCATTTTGCGTGCCTGGTGTGAATTTTAAATGTTTATAACAACGAGTGCATCTTCGATAATAGAGATGCATTGAGAGCGACGCTGCGCTCTGATATTGACGTCCAAAAATACAGTTGGATTTATTTTGAGAATTCTGGCGCATCGGTCTGGCGATAGGCGCCGATTTGGGGTCATATTCTTCGTGAACCGAAAAGGATTACTTTGGAGAATTTAGTTTAATATGGACTTGGAAGTCATTTACACAGTTACACAAAATTTGAAGTAAAGAAAGTTTTTATTTTGTTTGAAATGCTGCGTTTGACTTTATTTCGAACTTGGTGTAGACTTTTTGAGTTGTAGTCCCCCAGAAGCGCAGACTTAAAATTTGGTAAACAAAACCTATTTTAATTCTAATAACAATGACTAGAAAATGTCTCTAAAAACTGCAAAAAATGACCAAATCTTGAACTAGGTATTACAAAAGCAGGCAATCGCCAGACCGAAAAGTCAAAATTCTGAAAATTGACTCAAAAAATCGTATTTATTCAGTGTTTAAAATAAAGACAGGCGACACTCACCGTCTGGTCTGACTTCTTTAGATAAACTGTATCAATGTATAAGATTTATCACTCGTACGTGTACAAATATAATTGGAAAATTATTTATCTTTTTGTTATGTGATAATGGTATCAGAAATTTCGAAACTCGTCGCTAAATGGACAAGCGCTTTACCTACTTACGTGTTTCGCTACCGAGGGAGATTAAGCGAAAACGTATGTTTAGTTTTTAGGCATTTTTCGTTTAAATGAGTGTCGATTGTCATGAATTTTGGTAGAGAGATAGTTTGAAGACTGAGGATTCGTGTAGTTACTTCATTTTCGTTGCAGTGTACATATATTTTTTAAATTGGACGTTTCAAGACAGTGCGACGATGTTTACGTAATTTCTATTATTTGCTTCAAGTGCTAAATACAGGTGTAATTAATACACCATTTCAGTTATCTTTTTAATCCAATCGAATGAATTTCTTATCACGCATCAATTACTAAACACCATACACAGACAAATATTATAGACTCGACAATTTAGAATCTAAAACAGTCAGTCGGGTTTTTTCGAACTATTCGGATATTTTAATCAATTTTACATGTCACGTTAAGCTTTAAATAAAAATATGTTATTATATAAACTGTTATTATATATGACAGACATTATCTTTGTTTATATTATGTAATATATAAATATATACTGAGATTATAAGGAGAGGTGACCTACATGTGAGAAAAGCAGATATGCCTTACATTGTTGTTTATTTATCTTTTATATAACACTAGCTTGTGCTAGCCGTTTCGCTCGCGGTCTCGTGGGGTGAAAATAACCAAACCATAACCTACCCCTGTTTTAATTCATCCGGATCTCTACTACCGTTTTGACGTGAACAGACAAACATATATTAGCATTTTCTTTTTAATAATCCATTGCACCACACTAGGATTTTTTCCTGTGCCGCGGGTGCGTGCGAACATATAATTTCACATACACTCAGACCCGGTATAACAATCGAAACTGCGACACGTTGCATGGTTCACAGTTGTTCCAACTGTGCAGTCATTATAAATTTATAGGATAACGCCTCTTTAATCAAATGATCGCAAGTACAAACTGTAAAGCAAGGAATTAGATTAGATCAGGTTTGGGTAAGACTTTTTTGAGGGTGAAAATCATCCAATGACTTCTCCCGCCTGGGTGAGGCGAGAGGGAGTGTCAGACTCTTACTGACTAAAAACAACCCCGTTCGTACTCCTGTTTTTCGAGTCGGAGCCCCGGCAACCCGTTATGCTTTCTGCGGCTCCGTATCGGGCATCAGCCCTACTGGGCCCATCTGTGGTGGACGGATGGCTCTTTGAGGCGCGCGTGGAACGCGACCCGCCGTACGCTCGGGTCTGATTCTGGTCGGGCGGCGAGTTACCCGTGCTCGCCGTCCGCAGGGCCGTGCAGTCTTAGGTAAAACTAGGGGCAAAGTATCCCGGAGCTGCGGACAGCCTAGCGCGATACCGGGGCTCCAGATCGATGCAGGAGTAAGAACCGGGCGGTTTTTGGTTAGTAAGAGTCTAACAATCGCAATCGACGCCGGCTATGGACACCCAAAAAACCAGAGACGTTTAAGTGCGTTGCAGGGTCTAAGGGGTTAGGATATGGAAGATTGGGGAGATTGGGAGGTAATTAGGGGTCCGGTAACCTCACCCACACCACGAAACACTATGCAAGAGTTATTTCACGCCAGTTTTCTGCTCGGCCGTGGTCTCACTCGGGTCAAGCTGACACATTCGTGCCGAAGCATGTCTAATATTGTTATTTAAATTTCGATCAGAATAATCAGAATCAGACTCATATTTAGCTTAATAAAACATTTTAATTCATAGCTATATACCTACATATAAAACTATTGAAAGTTAATTAGTTCTCTAGCCAATCGATTTAAAAATAAACTATTAAAGTATGCAGGCATTCAAGATTTTAATTAAAAATTGTATATAAAGAGCTCACCTTGACATAATAATAAAAATCTATACTTCTATACATATAAATAAAATTGGGAGTGTCTGTTTGTAATATTAAAATAACCGCGTTTTACTACATGCATACGGTACACATACCACAACAACATTTTTTACAATTTTTGTCTGTTTGTACTGGCTAATGTATGCAATGACTTATTGACAGGTAGCTGATGTACTAAGGAGTAACATATGCTACTTTAATTTTGTACAATGGAAACAAAATAAGTAATGTTCTAAAATTCTACGCGGACGAAGTCACGAGCAACAGCTAGTAATATATAATTAAAATCGAACAGATGGTGTATCCGTTTGTTTGAGAGCGCTAATCTCCGAAATTACTAGTCTGAATTGAATAATTGTTGTTTTGTTGGATAGAGCAATTATAGAGGAAGGTTGCTGGCTAAAATATTACGTTACGAACAATCAATGGGAGCCAAGCAGTGGGTAAAGTCACGAGGAAGTAGCAATGAATATGATAAAGAGGGTAATATTTTATTAATTGTACCCGGTATATAGCAATAGGCTTACATGGAACTCATAACATAAATAGTAAAAAGTGGGTGTTACATTGTACAGTGGCACTAAGTGCCGTAATGTGCACCTCTGTCTACCCCTTCGGGGATAAAAGGCCCGATGTTATGTTAATGTTAATTTTATTCATTGTTTATTTAGTAATTTAGTAAGTACGCAATACTTTATCCTCTTATTCATACATAATCGGGGATATCTTGAGAGAAATCAAAATTCGGGGAAGTATGCATTTTAAGTGTGGGAGCACTCTCCCATGCTTCGCTATATATGCTTCGGCACGAATGGGCCGGCTCGACCGGAGAAATACCACGGCGTCACACAAAACCGATGTGAAACAACGTTGTATTTCGTCGTGTAAGTGCGATTACCGGAGGCCCAATTATCACCCCTCCCCCCAACCTCTCTAATCCGTGAATCCCCAACAATCCTCAAAAGGCCGGTAACGCACTTGTAACGCCTCTGGTGTTTCAGGTGTCCATGGGCAACGCCGATTGCTTACCATCAGGTGATCCGTCAGATCGTTTACCTAAGGAACTCTTAAAAAAATCAAGTTGGTCAAAGCCGCTACCGACAAACTAGTAATAATTAATTCATGAATATTATTTAATTACCAAACAATTTTCCATCCACATTCTTTTCGAGATCAAAACATGTTTTTTTAATGTTTTGGCGCATAACAAACACAACACGCGTTTTTATGCCCCAAAAGACATAAACAGAGGAGCACAGGAGAACAGAGGATACATTATACCACTAACTCCTCATCAGTTATGAGTCCCATTTAAAAGCCTATTGGCATACACATCAACAGCCTATAAATGCCCACTGCTGAGCAAAGCCTCTTCTCACACGGTAAAGGTTTGAGCATCAATCACCACGGTTGCTCAATATAGGTTGGCGATTTCAAACTTATAATTAGAAATTATAAGCCCAGGTTTCATCGCGATGTGCGCCGGGGCTCCGACTCGAAGAGCAATAGTAGGAACAGGGTGGTTTTTAGTCAATAACAGTCTGACACTTCCTCTCGCCTCATCCGGGCGGGAGAAGGCATCGAAGATTTTCGCCCTTCAAAAACTAAAGACTCATTTAAACATCCCAATAACATTGCAAAATAGTGCAAGCCCCAGACCCCTAGTCGCTGTGATAACCATTGTACAACCGACAAAAATAGTCCTACTTCCAACTAATATTATAAATGCGAAAGTTTGTATGTTTGTCAAAATGGCTGAAGGGGTCGGGATGATATATGGAAGAGGAGTAGTTTACTGTCTAGAATACACATAGGCTACTTTTTATCGTACGGCAACGCGGGCAAAGCCTCCTTTAGTAGCAACGACCTCTTAAGTAATAACCAAATCAAAAAATCCTCTAATCAATGAAAATAATCCTAAATCTAACAAAAAAATTAAGAAGTGGGTTTGGTTTGTAGATAAGGCAAGCCTTATCAATGATAACGTATTGGGTTCCTATGGACTGCAAACCGATTTCAATCATATTATCATACTAGTTTTATACATGCGAATGTTTTTAAGTTTGTCTATGTTTGTTAATCAATCACATCAAAACGGGTGAAGGGATTAGGACGAAAGTAACAAGTTTAGATAATGGTCTTGAATAACATACTGCCTGCCACGGGAACGCGGTTGTAGCCGGTGGTAGAAGCTAGTTTGTTGATATAACATAAAATAACGTCAGGGTTTTCATCCCCGAAGGGGTACGATGGATCCAGAGGTACGATGATCACACACAATGTAACAAACATATCACCAGTTATGTTGAGTCCCATGTAATAGGATGCTAGATAATATGAAAGGCGACAATAGTTCTAATTATCAAACGCTCCATAAACATTATTACGAGGCGAATAGTCCTTTGGAAAATTTCACTGAATATTTATTCTCTCTTTTCTAATTCTTCTGTTTCAATTTTTCAACTCTTATATTTTTATTACTTCCACTGTCACACCTTGATTGTCTTTTTTTTTTTTTATTTATGTATGCTGCATCGTGCCTGGTGCTAAATAAATGTTTTTTCTTTCTTTCTTTCTTTCTATTCCTACATGAATGAAAAATAATAGCACGCCCGAAATCTATTCTCGGACTACAACCATTCCTTTCCTTTTTTAACACCTTGAACGCCATGGGGGACAAGGTATGGGCCACGCTAGAGGAGGATTTACCCTCAACAGTTTTCTGTCGGCAGTCAAAGCCTTAAATGTACTTAAATTCACATGCCCTAAGCGGGCTAAATAGACTATAAGAACAAATAACGTAACATAAAAACCATCAAACGTAATAATTCTATTTAAATTTGAATAAAAGAATATTAAATTTTAAATTTGACTAGTTCACATCAAAAATTTAAATTGAATTTAAACAACTGCAACAGCGGTGACCCTGAATCTACGAAGACGAGTCAAAATAAACACTGAGACAACAAACTATACGTTGCTAAGCACTTTACGTAATATCTTTAAAAATTAAACTAAAGTTTATATAGTTATTAACACTATGATTCACTCAACACCACAGAACACCAC